TTGTCTGCAGAATCAGATCACTTTTCGAAGTGTATATTTCCCCTCCAAAAAACCCTCCAAATTATATAGATATGTGTACCTGAGTGTGTGTGTGTATCTGAGAATGTAACTGCATGAGAAAGAATATTAAAAATATTGAATATGTTATATTTAGAGTACTTAGGCTGAGCCCTGCATCTGTTTCCACAAAAATAGCAAGCTATACATTTCTTTAGAGTGAACTTTACTACTCAAATTCAGTTTAGACGATATTAGCACAATAAGCATATTTTAAGAGAAAAAAATGATTATTTCCTCAAAATACAGCTACTTGTTTTTCAGTTATATAGTCTTTTTATTGCTTTTAATTTACAACAGCATGGCTTAGCAGAAGAAAGAAGATTTAAATGCTGATCAAAAAGTTAAATCTGTAAGTGAGAGGAAAACAGATTATTGCTACCTTTGTTATTTTAAGAAATAATAACTTTCGTTTATAAGAACTGTATTATATTTTTACCCAAAGGCCTTGGTTTTCACCAGAAGCTAGTCAAAGTCCTTACATTTTCCTAATAGAGATGTGCAGCTAAATGTTTTACTTAGCCATCAGAATAGAATTTCATAAAAATAGGTGTCATTTACGTTATTATAGGCTGTGTATAAAACATCATAATCATGTCCCAAATGAATGAAGCAATGTCTGCTCACGTTGCTGAAATGACTTTTGCCATCTTCCGTTGAAGTGTGATGAAGGACATGAAAAGCTTCTATTTTTATTTGCCGCCTTCTAAACCATTTGTGTTATGCTGTACGGACCCTCCTGAACCTCTTCTTCAGGGGCACCTTTTACAGCGGCTATCTGACTCCTTTTCTGGAAGTCTGATCATTACCTCAAATAGAAAGATATGAAACAAAAATACAGCTAGGAAACTGCTAGTGTGTTATGATAACGGTCTTAAATCTGGTTTAGGAAGTGGATAGTCTTTGTGGCTGGTGGTTTGTAGGACCTAAGGGAGAAATCAGAGGAAGTATTCTTGTGGGCCCTTGCTAACTTAACATCTGTTATGTAGTTACTTTAGGCTTCAGGAGGGTAAACACACTTATCCAGCAGTCCTTTAGTGCATTAACTTGAATTAATGTATAGCATGATTTTGCCAGTGATACATTACCTAAACAGCTTAATCTTGCTTTGGCTAACAAGAAGAAAAAATGTAAGGAATATAGATACATGCTGGCATGTGAACATGGTTTAAATAATTGTAGAAGCTGTTCAATGTCGAAAGAAAATTGTGCATGGCTATAAAAGGCATGAAGACATGCAAACAGCTGCAGTTTATGTAGATGCATATATGCTGAAGTATGAATGTTCATCACTTTGTAAGACTCCAAGATCAAAAACATACACAGAAGTTACAACACAATGTTTAGTCTAGTCATCAGGTCTGAAGGGTTCCTGGATGACTTATGGAGTTGGCTTAATCTAGCTTTGTGGCTTATATAACAATTAAAATTCTCCAGATGCATGAATTTTAAATCAAAATACTGGAATATACTCAAAGAAAAAGCGAAATGGAGCTGTGGTGCTAAATATATATCACTAACTTGAAAAAAAAAATCTCAAAGAGAATACTAGAATTAAAAGAATGTTCAATTCACTTTCAATTCATAATACATTCCAGTTTTAGGTCATTTGAAAGTACAGAGCTTGGACTTATCAGACAGCTTAGACTTTCCTCTGGTATATTCACCCACTATCTACCTCAATCAATACATCCGTATTTGACCTCTCGGTAGCTGGATACCGTGTAGGTGAGGCTAACATTACATGCTTTGACTTGAAAAGCTGTAACTTACAGTGCTGGCCTAAGTGCTATAGTTAAGATCAGCAGAGCAATTTTCTTGTTTCTGAGAAGGAACTGTTTGCAAGGCTATCTCCCTGAAAGAATTATACTATGAAACTTTCCATTTCTGTAGAAAAACCTCAGAACTCCTAAACAAGCAAGCAAAAAAGGCTGATTTTCCTGCCTTGTCTTCTTTACTTAGTAGGAGAAGGAAGTAAGGTTTGATGAAACTATATTAAAAAATAGTGGTATTTTCATTACAGTTAGTACTACTTTGGGGAACTATTACAGCAGATCTTACCTCCGAGATTGAAATTTGAAATATTTGTCAATCCTGTACAATGCTGCCTTTTTGATCCATAGTTTTATTTAAAATAAATCAACAATATAGTAATATTGCACAATAATCTTTTGTAATGATTTTCCTCTCTTTCCAATACTTGATAATCTGCAGTGCGTGGATTTACCCCTCGTCTTTTTCAGAGTCTCATATCCATCCTTCTAGCTTTTCCATGCTTAATGAGAAAAGAAACAGTTTACTAGCAGGTCTTTCAATAGCTGGATAATTATTTAAGTCTTCATATAAGAGCACAATTCAAGGCATTGCTTCTAGTGAATAAATCTATAAATAATATAGCTAAATTTTCCTCTGTTATGACTCCTCTTTCCTAGATTTTTTTTTCTAAGGATCAGCAAAAGAATATTTTCAGTGTGACTACAGAAAGACAACATTTACCACTCCTGGTTTTTTTTGTCAAAATGTTAAGCAAATGTCAAATGCGAAGCAAACCTTTATGAATTCAGATCACTTTTGCAAATGCTTCCAGCATTTTAGAAGTGACATGTTGTTATTGTGGATATTTTGAGTAATATTAACAATCAAAACTTTTTTTCCAGAAAGTTTTCTAAAATTTAATTTACAAAATTTTTTCTTTGAGTCAGATAAAGCATTCAAGGAACTTTTTTTTTTTGACCCAATAGAAACACACATTTCAAAAAATCTTTCTTTTTAATTCAAATATGAGCCAAACTATTGATTGTTCAAACATATTTATATATCAAAAAAAGTGGTGATTGAAACTCTGCTTCAGCAAAAGTTTATTAAGACTGGAGAAGGAGGCACGATATATTTGTTCAGTGCTTTGAGCATAACTTGTCAGTCTTTCGTGTTTTGTAGCCTCCTCTTATGGCCTTGAAGGAGGGGGAAGCCCCACCTTATCACTATTGTCCTACTCAGTCGTTCCCCCCAAATAGAAATAAAGAAGTGTTAGGTATCTCCTAATGCCGGCTATCAGCTAATAATTTTGGTGTTTCATATGTGATTTAAAGTCTTTTAATAAATCTCTGGGCTGTTGTATATTTGGTAGGCCAGTCCATGCCATTGATTTTTAAGGGGAAGTTCTGTTGATTTTCAATACGCAGTTATGCTTAAACTGCAGCAGAGCTAGAGCCTGATTTCTTCTCTTTATGTGTTTCCAACCTGAGCCACACTCAGTCCAGGGTGAGCAGCCTTTACCTTCCCAGGACAATAGCTATTCTGTTTTTCCTCTCTGTCGCCTATCTACTTTAGACTGCACAGCTACCTGGACAAGAAGATACAGTGCTTTTACTAGTACAAAGCTGTGCATATTTGTCTGTGATCAGTGGCCAGGGAGTTCCCCCCCCCCTTTTTTTAAAGAGGTGGTTCCCTCGACTGCTTGGGACCCAAGCTGTTTAATGAAGACACAAGCTGTAAGAGCTGTAATATCACTGAAATCTTTGCATTTCCAACAAGTTCATTTGGAACGAACCTCTGGATTGAAGAGTTATAGGGATCATGGGCAGACAGAGGGCAGCGCTGTTCCCTAAGGGAGTATGCTAACAATTGATCTTTTCGCATGCGTTTAAGACTTTTGCTGTAGATATGCAAATAATAATTCAACCATTACAACACATTCGTAATAAAAATTCAATACACTTAAGGTAACTCAAATAGTGAGGCCTAAATAATACCACATCTATGAAATATGCACTTCTAAATTTAGTTGTACTTGGGTTTTTCACATGGAAATTCTAGCATTTATTCCTTTAGATATTTATTGTGAGAGACTTAAACTATAATCAGTACAGTGAATGATTTGCAGTGAAATCAAATGTAGTGCTTGACATTTCATTTTATGTCAGATGCCTGTTTTATCTTCAGTTTGAAATTTATTACTTTTATTGTGAGTGTTTTTATATTTGTATTGGGTAAGTGTAGGTATTGCAAAAGTAAGACTACTTGTAATGGTTCAGGCCAAATACAGTGTAATCAGATGGCATGTAAGTTTACCTAAAGAGCTTTGACACCCTCTTGATCTTGATATGCAGCACACCATCTATTGTAGTCATGGCCGTTTAAAAAACATATAATGCATGTCATGCTAAATTGCACACTAGCTGTTTGTTTATTATGGACATAATTGCACTATAAACTTAACTGCAGTTGAAACTGAAAATCAGATTGTAGCAATATTTTCAAACTTTATAGATCTTCATGCTAAACTGCATCTTAGGTTTTGCCTGACAACCTACAGTCATCTTATTGCCCATTAACACTCCTTTCTAGATCAGATAAGGGAAAATGAGCCTCGGAGGCCAGAGATTTGTACTCTGATTTGACAACGTTCTTAAGTTCATGCATAATCTTACATGAGGGTCCTGGACATGCTGCAGTATTAAAAAGATTAGTTATTAGTTGGCCTGCCTGGAGATTCCTCCTATTCTATTAACTAGAGTTTTGATGTCTTCCTGATACTTGAAATTCTTCAACCCTTGCTCTTCCAAAACTTCCACTGACTGATCTCAGTATTGATTCTCTGCGAACTGTAACAACCCCTCTTGCTTGTCTCATGCTTTTAATCTGTTGATCCATCTCAATGACTAAATGTGTATATGTGTATATAAATATATATGTACATACATATCGTACCTACACATATAAATACATATATATGCACATATACATGCATATATAGTCAAGAAGGCAATATATCCACATCCAGGTGCATGTATCTGCAAATTCACAGGGTACATTTGTTAGACAAATCAGTAAGGAAACATCTGAGCTTTTTCAAGGACCAAGAGTAGCAGATTCTTACCAGTCCTAAACATAAATACATGTATGACGGAGTACCTGTTAATGTATTTTCTCTCTACCAACAGGTCCCATAAGCAGCATTTTAGTGAATAAGTATGGTAGCCGGCCTGTGATGATAGCAGGAGGTATATTGTGTTCATTTGGAATGATTGCTTCCTCCTTCTGCAATAGTGTCCTGGAACTTTATCTATGTATTGGCGTTGTTGGAGGTAAGAGTCCTGTTTAAAATGTATTGTTTATATTATATTATATTATTTCTAATGCTGTTGTGCCAATGAGCTTTACTGACCAGGAACCGACTATGCAAAGAATTGTGCCAGTGCAAACCAAGAAGATAGCAAGATCAGTTCATTTCAGCTACCTGAACTATCTAATCCTTTAAATTAGCTGGTATGATGTTAAATTATTTCTTAGGATATTTCAGGAACAGCTGATCATTTTATTCAGTAAATGCTGTATGTATGTACTATTCCACGCTGCACTGTAATTACGGTATAAAACTTGATTGGATCGTGACAGCACTTATTACAGTCATTTGTATAGAATTTCACATTCATTGTTTTAGCCTTCAATCATGCTACACTTCAAATGGGGTGGCAGAAGCTAGCAGAATTCTAGTAAAAATGCTAAACCTAGTAACAGCTTTCTGTAGGTTTGTACATGCATACCATCTCATAGAAAAGTATGACAATTTTCAGTTTAATAACTTTCTGTTTAAAATTCTATTCTACCCCAAAATAAAGTTTTTCATATATCATCGAAGGCCTGGAAATTACCTAAGGCAATGAACTAAAGGGATAATGAGGCCAGTAAATTAAATAACCTCTTTATCATTTTTTTTAAACCATCTCTTCAGAATAAGGAAGGCAAGTGAGATTAGAGGGCAAATAATAGCAGATAATAAATGAATTAGATAATACTTGTTCCTATATGCAAGGAATATCGTATCTTTCTTCATAAGAGGACTATGTAGAAGTGAATATAGGAATTTCTTTGTTCAATGCCCGTTCTTTAAAGCACTTTTTTTTTTATGTCTTAAAGTAAGGTCAGGGATGAGGAATGAGGCTGTCAGAGAAGAAAATTTCTCTCCTATGCAAATACATAGCTACTTGTCCCGTATTGCCTAGACATCTTACTAGAGAGAGAAGGCCTAGAGGTGCAGTTTGAGCACTCGGCTGCTGTGTGGAGTACCCTTCAGTCTGTTCCCATACCTGTCCTCTTCTACCACACTTCCACCTTTAGTAGTGACTTCCACAGCTGTAGAAGTGAAGCTGGATATGTTCCCAAATCATTAGTGATTTTAATCTCCACTTTTGTGCCCAAGTTCAATCTTAAATAGGGCTGGAAATAAAAGCTGAGGAGATTTTTGTATTCAAATATGCTCACATTCTTTGTAGCTGAGGTAACATTTAATAACTTTTGTGAAATGAGCCAAGAGAGAATTGCGTGACAGCTTAGTAAAACCCAAAATGGTGTAGTCAAGGTTTTGATATCACCATTCCTCTGTCTTTCCACTGTCTCTGTCATTACTGAAACAGACCAACAAGTTTCAGCTTTTATTGTAATGCTGCAGAAGGAAATGACAGAATGCCACCATGACGTAGTCTTGGCATTACCTCCCCTAGAAAGCGGTGAAGCTGTATTTCATTCGCTAATGCTGGTTGCTTTTCATCATCTTCATTAAAAATCACTGGATTGTATATTGATCCTTTTAAATATATTTAGTTATTGTATGGTACATTTTTAGTGTGTGACATGCAGTAATACTGTGTTCTATGTGTTGTTTAGGTCTGGGTTTAGCATTCAACTTGCAGCCTGCCTTGACCATGATTGGCAAGTATTTCTATAAGAAGCGTCCCATTGCTAATGGATTGGCCATGGCTGGAAGTCCAGTGTTTCTAAGCACATTGGCACCTCTCAATCAATTCCTCTTTAATGCATTTGGTTGGAAAGGAAGCTTTCTCATTCTGGGAGGACTTCTTTTGAACTGCTGTGTGGCAGGATCACTTATGAGACCTGTTGGACCTAAATCTGTTCCTCCTGTGAAAAAAGATGTTGAGAAAGGCACAGGAGATTCTGCCTTGCACAGAAACAACAAGAAGTCTTTTTGGCAAGCTGTGAATAAATACCTAGATTTATCCCTCTTCAAACACAGAGGTTTTCTGATTTATTTATCGGGAAATGTTATTATGTTTATTGGTTTCTTCGCTCCAATTGTATTCCTGGCTCCTTATGCCAAGCACAAGGGAATTGATGAATATTCTGCTGCTTTTTTGCTCTCTATCTTAGCCTTTGTAGATATGTTTGCTAGGCCTTCGATGGGACTTGTAGCAAACTCCAAGTTTATCCGGCCAAAGATCCAGTACTTTTTTAGTTTTGCTGTCTTGTACAATGGTGTTTGTCATATCTTGTGCCCTCTGGCAACAAATTACACTGGCTTGGTGATATATTCTGTATTTTTTGGGTTTGCGTTTGGAATGGTTAGCAGTGTTCTTTTTGAGACATTGATGGACCTTGTTGGTGCTGCCAGATTTTCCAGCGCTGTTGGACTTGTCACTATAGTGGAATGTTGCCCTGTTCTCCTAGGCCCTCCTCTAGGAGGTAAGAATCTCTTTTATTTTATTTCTTCAGACATCACGGCGTATATTTGCAATTTAGTACTGAATTATTGTAAAAATTGTTCTTAATGTTATGTAATGTTTTCTCTGTGATTTCGCATATACTATAGCACTGCACTACACTGGTGATCTTAGCGCTTTACAGCTTCAGATCCACATGAAGCTCTGAAGGTGTACAGTGTATGCATGCACAATAGAGAGATTTACAGCATATCTCACCTGGCCAATAAATCCAGGTGATAAATGCATATTTTCCTAGTAGCACTTAATGCTAACTTTGCAGCCTCAGTCTGCGTGTACTCGCTTCCACTTGCTCTTTGCCGACACAGCTCTTACTTCCTCAAATAGGCTGACTCTATTAGGTCAGTTTTCATAATGATCTCACAGAGGTGTATAATTTCTCTAACCTAATGGCAGCTAAAGGGACACTCGTTTAAATTAAAAATTTCACCTTGAGTTTGTCTAAAGAGAGAAGATTTTATGTCTAGCCACAAGAACTCGATCAAGAGGTGGCAGAAAGGAGGGGGCCCCCCAGCAGCCCCTGCCACGCTGTGCCGTGGGGCGTTGTGCCCTGCCCCACGTTCCATGCTACATGTCGGAGCCAGATGTTTAGCCTGTTTTTATAGCCAATAGATATGTGTAAGGTAATTCAGGGAGTAAATCGTCCTACATAGTTTGAAAGATGGTGATGTTGCCTATTCCTCTCTTCTGAGTGTAAAGGGAGCTTAAAGGGAGCCTAGGTGAATAGCTTGGACTGTATCCATAACTTTGGTGCTTCTAGAGCCAGAGATGATGAAAACAGTCTTAAAGGATTTTCTGTTAGTTTGTAATAAGTATTTAGTAATGCTATTAGTGTGATTTACAACATGCCTGTAATGTAATGTGTAATGTCAGCCCTGCAATATAAAAATACTGATACGTTTTCTCAGTAGAGACACTGATAATGTGACCAGCCCTCTGAACATACACTTGTTCCCCTACACCCTAACAAGCAGTGCCACAGAAGTCAGCAGGATAATACGTGTGCCTGAAAATAATCATACATGTTCAAGTATTTTTAGAATTATGGTCAGAATTTGTGTCAAACTAGCATCCTTGAATAAAACCTTAAATAAAGTAAAATAATTCCACTCATTTCAATTCGATAATATTTTTATAAATAAATGTTTAATAGTCTCCAAGATATTCCATATTTCCTTGGTCATTTAATATATGAATTAATTGTAATGGCAGAACAAAATATATCCTTCTAACACAGGCTCTTCCTATGCCACCTAGTGGGGGGCCTGGCCAGTGACTGAATCTCGCCTTCTCAATCAGGTTCTGAAATAGATATTAACTCTAAAGATATTAAATCTAATATTAATGGAGCAATAGAGTATGCAACTGTTTATTTTTCAATATATTAGTTTTGCAGGAGTTTGGAAAAGCATGTATTTGTGCTATAACAGTATGAATAATTGATTTCTCTTGTTAAATAGAGACAACAAAGGGGATTAACAAAAAAAAAAAGCTAAATTACAGTTTTGACTATTTCATATCTTTTAAATGTTATGCTGAAGTAATGTTAATGCAGAATTTCATTTTTAATCAGTTTTGCCAGACTGCTTGCGTATAAAACCCAGTAAATTTTACTTTTTACACTAATAGGTGAATTATACACTTGCAGTGCTATAGTAATATCATTTGAATTTTTCCTAATACAAAGCTTGTGGAATAAGCTAAAAACTAAAATAATTTGATAGCTTGTAAATGTGTATCAAGTGAATATGTTGGTACTATGGCTCCGACTCAGTAAAAGCAACTAAATAAACATTAAATTGAAATATGCAAGTTATTCCGTGAATTTCGATGATAGTGTGGCTGAGTTTGGAGCTAAATACTTGGATATGTACAAATGATTTGGGAGCTGAGAAAATTCAGAAAGAATGGCTCGTAAAGTGGAAGAACAGTTATATTTTATTTTCCTTGCCATAACCAAATTAATCTCAGAAGTGTGTGTATAATTTTTAGGTACAGGCTTCAGAGTGCAAATCTCAGCAGTTGTACGTGATGGCTGAAGGGATAAGCCTTTCTATTTCTTTCACCAAACACAGGAAAGTAAAAATGAAAGGCAAGCAGTTGATATACAGTGACAGCAGCCTGAGAAGGCACATACCTCTTCATCCTATTGTCTGTATGCAGCCTCCGTGAGTGTCAGTCACTCCAAAACAATAGGAAACAAAATTAGGAGGTGAATAAAATAAGACAATGAAGGAATGAAAATGAAAGACCTAAAAACTGTCAGTCATTGTTCGTTAGACTTTACTTACTTTATTCTTCAACATTTCATTGTTGTCAGTGATTCCTATGGCAGTTGCTAGTTTGACTAATATAAGTTTTATTAGAGGTCCACTACGTATGATAGACAAATTGAATTTGTTGACAATATTTTTCTGCTCCAACTTTGAAAGCATGCAATATATAGATATTTCTTTTAGGGAA